AGAGAGAGAGAGAGAGTTTCGAAACGAAATATTCGAAGGCGCGTGAACGTTGTGTGCTCGCTTATGGACGATACTTCAATACGTTTTATTCCTGTGAATCTCTCTTTGATAGCGATCTTTTTTTCCATCCGACTGAAAGCAATTTGTTGGGCAACCTGTGCGCACGTGAAACGCGCGAGTAGACTTTGTTCTCATCTAGGAGGTGTCAATCTCGAAGAGTAATCTGTGGCTGACGTAGTAGGTCTTGCAGTCTCGAACAATAGATCGCGACGGTATCGACGACGGAATCGCGTACGTTGGATTTTTACCTATATTTTTCTATGTAATTTGACGGAACTCGGATAAATTTCTGTCTATCAGAGATTTCACGGGGGCTGTTAAATCTTCCAATCGTTCGATCTTGCTCTTCGAATTCAATTTTTTTTCACTGAGATTTACATGGAAATTTACATCGAATATTCTCGATCATTCAATATTAAACGTGTAAGGCTTCACTCTTGCGTTGATAAAATCTTTGAGGTAATTTGCGAAAATTCATTAAATTTTTAACATTTCACGTCGTTACATAAATCTGCGATCTTGTTATTCTTACTTTACTATTCTTATCTTAGCTGATTTTTTTCGCGATGAATAACCGCTCATATAAATGTTCCTTCGATGTTATAAATTTGCATCGTAATTTGCGCGATCAAACTAAACGCATTCTATCTCATCTAAGATGCGTAACCTCGTGCGCAACCTTACAACTTGCGTCAACGTTTACTTCAATGACTCTACATCACATACTTACAATTTATACAGGACGACTCACGAAAGATCTGCATCATTCGGAATTTATTTCCTCATTTATAAATTTTAGTAATCAATAATGTTCACGTGAATATCTTAGGTTTTAAGATCCTTAGGCTTTGAATACTTTAAAATGAATATATCAAAGTCAAATCCTGTGTTCATATTTATGTAAACAAGTTTGTAAATAAGTCCTGTTATTATTTATTTTCTTTTCACATCCTCTCAAGGCAGTTCTGGCCGATGTACAGCAAATACGTACTCGGCCAGAATATTAAATATTAAATGCGTGCTAATCGAAATAAAATTAATTTCCAAGCAGAGATTTTTCTTTCGAGAACAATTCGCGGCGGGCACGAGTACAGCCTGTCAAAAGGTCTGTCACGCGGTTACGGAATCTCATGCATGTACTTACCTGACGAACAGCTGTTCTTGGTTATTCACCCGCCAGGACACCACGGTGGCTCCTGCAAAATGGAAAATTATGATCAGAATATCGATCGGAGCGATCGCACGGTGGGCACGCGATGGACGCGCGTTGACGATGACACGTGAGGAAGCACTCGGGCGACGTAACGCGCCGTCGCCGTCGGAAAACAGTCCGCGAGACTCCCGGGGAGCGAGGACGCGCACTCACACATTATACGACACGACATGACACGACACGCACGTACACGAGCGTGAACAGGTTCGCCGAACGCGCGTCAGGATCAGCGGGACGCACGAAGTCGCGACGCGCGAAAGGCTCGCGGAGACGCTCCGGAAGTTTCAGTCATCTCGTCGCGGTTCCCTCGATCGCGTTTCCCCGACAGATTCGCGCGCGGAACACGCGCACACACATTCACACACACATACACACACGACAGCTCACTCATATACATACAAACACGCACGCATGCACACACTCACACTCACACGCACACGCACACACCGTGTAAATTGATGGTGCAGGTGGTGTTGTTGCCCCTGTCGAGCACGACAACGCTGGTAGCCGCTGCCATGTTTGAATCGTGAATGCGCCGCCGGCCGGCCGCTCGACGCGGCCAACCTTTGTCCGACGCCCTCGGGCTTGCCCCCACCGCGCGCGCGCGCGTCCGACTCCGACAGCGCCGCTCCGCGGCGGCCGACTCAATCGAATCGAATCGCGAAGCGACGAGCGGTAATCACGATTTGTTGATAAACATGCATGGTGTAACGACAGTCTTTACTCCGATTTTCCTGTTACTTAAATACAAAATTTGTACTTTGTATTTTTACGCGTAGAATATATTCTGAGAAAATCGTCACTCAAGTCTCCAAAAAATATTAGATTTGAACTTTAATTTACACATAAAAAGAATAAAAAGAAAGATATAAATTTTGAATCGCAAACTATTCTCTGTTACAATTGAATTATTTAAGAAAATTTATTTGTGTTTCTAATTAATTAAAGCAAATAATAAAAAGTGTGCAATTATAGATTATCATTAAATTATCATTTTTTAACTTACCGACGTCAAGAACTTTGAAATTAAAAAAAATGGAATTTGAGCAAGAATTTTTTTTCTTAGAATATATTCTATGTGTGAAATATATTTTACGCCTGAACGTACAGCTCTGGTATTTATTATAATTTGTATTCGGCGGCCGAATTAGAAAAGTGACGGTTGATAAGTGAGAGTTTCTCTGAACATATGAGCAAGCGTGAAGTTGGTTGATAATAAAGTTCTTTAAAAATGACCAATTGACTGACAGGTTACGCCCCCTGTTCGTTGGAAAGGATTGAACGTGCGTACATTTAGAACCAATGTTCCTATATAAATATTTCTTTCAAATACAGCAAATTATATCGAAAGTTTAAAATTTATTTCATGTTTATCTTTTTAGACGCCTGTTTTCGTAGTAAAGTTAATGACAAATCTATAAATCCGATGCAATAATTGACCGTATTAAGGATTATAGAAAATAGAATTGCTGATAGATTACTGAAATTTTTTTATTGAAAGCTTATTAAAATAATTCTGAAATCTTTTTGTAATGCCATGTAATTAGATTACAAAATTAATTTTTTTTATTGAAATAAGTTTAAAATACTTCAGAAGTGGTATTTCTTATTATATTAAAAAGATGGTAGATATTAAAAGTTACAATAAAAATTAAAAATTAAATGTATAAAATACATTTAAATTTCATTACCCGTTTTAGTATTTGCAATCTGATTAATATAATAAATATAAATATGATTTCTGAAATATGTTTAATGAAAGGGAAAAGAATATAATAAATAAATAAATAAATATATATATATATATAAAATATTGTGTGTGTTGTGTGTGTGTGTGTGTGTGTGTGTGTGTGTATAATATATATA